GGCAGTGGAAGGTGTCCCTGCCATGGCAGGGGTGGCACTGGGTGGGCTTTAAGGTCCCTCCCAACCCAAACCATTCCATGACTGTGGAGAAGGAAATGCTTTTGCCATGTCATCTGTTGCTTTGGGGATACTCAGAGAGCAAAATCACTCTTGTGGCAACTTCTGCCGTGTCCTGCAAGCAGAGCAAGGGTGGACTGGAACCCATCCACCCCACAAGGACCTCCTGGGAGCCCCTGAGCGCCCTGGGCAGGCTGGGAGGGGCAGGTGCAGAGCCCTGGAGGCTCTGTCGGGGCAGGGAGGGCTTTGCCAGCCCAGCAGCAGCACCAGGACGGGGCTGTGTGCAGGGTGAGGGTCAGGCCAGGCTCTGGGGACACTCAGCCCAGCGTGGAGCTCTGCCTGGACTCAGAGCTGGGCACTGCTGTTGGCTCCGGCACAGACACTCTGCGTGGCACCAGCTTGCACCCTGCTCCTCACACTCACAAACTCCTCCCAAATTGCTCCTGCTGCAGCATCAGGTCTTCCTGCAGTAATGGAAAATGTAGGATTTCGCTTGCCTGAAGTTATTTCCATTGCTAATTTCCAGGCTTCTGTTGGAAACACCTGGGAGGATGTGCAGAGTCTGCTGCACATACTGGGAATTAGCCCATTGAAGGTGATCTTCAAAGCAATTGGAGCGCTGCACTCGTGACTCGTTTGTTTCCCTTATGGTCCCCAAAGGCAGTTTCAAGGATGTTTTTTGTTTATTATTTTAAAGTTTCCACTTGCTTTCCCTGTCTGCCCAGCTGCTTCTCTCGAGCTGTGAGGAGGATCCAATTAGGGATTGCAGAGGATGGAAATCTTGCTGCTCCCACCATGAAGCGTGGACCTGCTCAGCTTTTCACCTCTGATTTGGGGTGACAGAAGGGGTGTGGCTTAATTACAAAGACCAGAGACCTCCAGGGAAAAGAACTTTTTGGTGGAAGATCCCCACAAAAGGCTGGATTGGCTCTCAGGAGATTTTTCAGCCAGCAAGCGGAGGTTTCCCATCTGCAGCACGGCTAAGGAATTCAGGGAATACTCTTCAAAAATCAGGACCTTTAGTGGTAGTTGAGAGCAAAACCATCTCCTCCCTTGGGTTCACAGTGGTGTAATGCAGCTCCTTCCCTCCCTGCTGCCTGCCAGCCTGCAGAGGGTCAGCATTCCAGGGTCCTTGTCCATTCTCTGTATGCCTGGGCCCCTCCAAGGCCTTGCTTCTGTAGCTCCCTATGATTTTTGGTTGCTTGCCTGACCTGAGGGCAGAGTGCTGAGCTGGAAGGGGAGCTGGGGACATGGGGGACCCCACTGCACCCTCAGAGAGTCCTTTTGCTCTTCACAGAAGATTTAGGACAGCCAAAACCCGTCCCCATCTGGGGCCAGCTCCCAGACAAGCCCCAGGGAGATGTCCCCAGCACCACTTTGCTGGAGCAGATAGAAAGATTGTCCCTCTTGTTTGTCAGTGCTGAGAATTAGCCCCATTAATTGATGGCAGTCCTCTGCATTAATCCTCGCTGCTAATTCCTTATCTCTGCTCCAGCATATTGGCTGCCCTGGCCCTCATCTGGGACACTCATCAGCAGTTTGTTTGGAAGTTGCCCTTTGCTGCCAGCCCGAGCAGGGGGAGGCACTGGGGGAGCAGCAGCAGCAGAGCAGAGAGGGGCTCTGGGGTGTGCAGGGAGGGGACATCGCTCCAGCAGGGACAGTGGCAGGGGAAGGCACAGGAGCAGCAGCAGCAGGGCATAGAGGGTCTCTGGGGTGTGCAGGGAGGGGACATCGCTCCAGCAGGGACAGTGGCAGGGGGAGGCACAGGGGGAGCAGCAGCAGGGCATAGAGGGGCTCTGGGGTGTGCAGGGAGGGGACAGCACTCCAGCAGGGACAGTGGCAGGGGGAGGCACAGGGGGAGCAGCAGCAGCAGGGCATAGAGGGGCTCTGGGGTGTGCAGGGAGGGGACAGCACTCCAGCAGGGACAGTGGCAGCTCCTGAGCAGGGGGAGCAGCAGCAGCAGCAGAGAGGGGCTCTGGGGTGTGCAGGGAGGGGACATCGCTCCAGCAGGGACAGTGGCAGCTCCCAGCTGGCAGCACGGGGCACTCCCTGTGCTCAGCAGGCTGCACACCTCTCCTGCTCAAGGGTTCAGCCCTAGGGCAGTTTGCTGGAGTGTTCCTTGCCTGCTATCAAAAGTTGCACTTTTCGCTTTTCATTTGTTCATTGAAACTGAAAGGACACTGAAATTGCCACCGCAGCAAACAAATAAATTAACTTGTAATGACTACCCATTACTTTGTGTTTGTTTTAGCAGCAGCCCTGTCAGAAAGCTGCAGGGAGAGGGGCGGAACGAGATGAGCTTTGCAGTGCCCTCCAACCCCAACTCTCCTGTGGCTCCCTGATCAGAATTTTGCTCCCTGTCCTTTCAGGTTTCCCCGTGGTGCTGCTGAGGAACCTGAGGCACCCCGTGTACCTGCTGGTGGTGCTGGCTCAGGTCAACCTCTCTGCCATGGTGGCTGGCTTGGCAACCTTCATGGGCAAGTTCCTGGAGAGGCAGTTCTCCCTCACAGCCTCCCTGGCCAACATGATCATTGGTAAGTGCTGCTGAGCTTTGGATTCCTTAAAAAAATGTATAGAAATGGGGAAGAGTTCCTCTGGAGCAAAGCCTCCCTCTCAGAGAGTTCAGAAGTGTTTAAAACATGTTTTTGAGCAAACAGCACCTCAAGGAAAAAGGCCTCTGAGGTCTGGGACAGATAAATCAGAACAAAATGAGCAGAACAGGCTGGCAGAGCCAGGGCTGAATGCAGCAGGAAGGTTAAATGCTGAAGCAGTGCTGTCCTGCCCTGAGGTGCCAGCTGAGCTGTTCCCAGCCTTGATTTACCCTCTGCATTCAAGTCAGCGCCGTGTTCCATGGATGAATTTATCTGGCCTTTGTTCCCACCGCTGAGTCTCGCTTGGCCTTTTCCTTTCAGATCAAAAAGCTTTCTGTAGCTGGAAATTCCTTCCTTGCGTGGGCATTGAGGGGCTGAAAGCAACCTCCCTGTGCATTCTCAGCTGAATTAAACACTTTGCATGTCTCCAGCTGAACTTTGCTCTCCCCCAAAAAATTGGGGGTTTTATGTAAATGGGATTTTATGGAAATGGGGTTTTACAAGGGTGACCACAGAAATGGGCACAATCCTACTCTGCACAGAAATTAAACACCCTCCTCAGCCTGATTTGGTGCTTCTTCCTGTCCACACTGAAAAATCACATTTTGCTGGGTGAGGCACAGCTTTCCACTGCTCCTGACAGCTTCCACCCATGGATCCATGAGGCAGCCAGCTTGCTGTGGGATCTTTATGAAAAGCTTTTTGGTAGCATTACTGCACCAATCCCTGCAAAAACCTTGGTCCCTTCTGAACCACCTGTGCTGGAAAATAGCAACCCAATAGCAAATCCTCTGGGCCTTTGCTGTGAGGAGGGACTGGCACAGAGCAGAGATGGAGAACAAGGTACAGTGACAGGACTAAGGGGTTGGGTTTAGATTGGGTGTTAGGAGGGAATTGTTCCCTGTGACTGCCCCTGCATCCCTGGAAGTGCCCAAGAACAGGTTGGATGGGCTTGGAGCAGCCTGGAAGGTGGAAGGGGATGGGACAGGGTGGTGCTGGAGGTTCCCTGACTGCATGCCTGCCTTTCCCCAGGTGCTGTGAACATCCCTGGGGCCATGGTGGGGATCGTGGTGGGCGGTGCCATCCTGAAGCGGTTCCAGATGTCCCTGAGGCAGTGCAGTGCCCTGTGTGTGCTGGGCATGCTGCTGTGCCTGCTCACCGCCTTTCCCCTGCTCTTCCTGGGCTGCCCCACGCAGAAGGTGGCCGGTGTCACCCACTGGGACAGGTACCTCAGCTCCTGGGCTGGGCACGGGGCATCCAGGGCGGGCACACCCCAGCCACAGCCACATTCCTGGGGGTGGGAGCCAGGCAGAATCCCCAGAAATGGGTTTGTTCCCTCAGGAGAGGCAGCTAGTGGAGGTAAACTAAAATCTGAGTCCTCTGTGTCCTCAGGTTTAGGGCAGAAAATGTACAGCTCGTCTTTGTGACTTATCCCACACATGGTGGAGTCATTTCAGCTTTATCTCCTATGGGTTAAAACCTTTTTAACAGCAGGGTTTTAGGAGCAGGGTTACAAGAGTTCCACCAGTGAGATTTCCTACTGAGGAGCAAGCGTGCAACCCGAAGTAAACACGGTTTTGGCACAAACAGCACAAGTTTTCATCTTGGAAAGAGTGATGGATGAATAATTCAGGCAGGGGCCAGCCCTGGGATCACACCATGTAAGCTGCGGCAGCTAAACGTGGGCAGCAGCTCCTTGTGTGCCCTGGAGGCTGGATCCAGGTCTCTGAATTCCCTGTTCAGTGTCCCGTGGTCCCTGCCCTCAGGGGGAACCTCCCTCCCACAGTGTGGTGTTGTAAGAACCCCAAAGGCCAGGTTTGGGACCGAGTATGAGGGCAGTGGGTGGCTCTGGTGCCCAGCTGTGGTTGGGAAGCTTTGCCAGGCAGAGCAGAGGTTTGGGGTGATGCTGGGATTCCCTTTGAGAAGAGTTCCTTGTGCAATCAGGTGGGTTTTGCTGACCCCAGCACACACACGTTGGTTTTTCTCTGTGAGGTGCACGGGGGTGATGCCCCGTGCCCGCATTAACCCTTTCCTGTGCCCAGCTCTGGCTCTGGCCACCACGCCCTGGCGTGCAACGCGCGGTGCCGCTGCCCCGAGCGCGGCTTCAACCCCGTGTGCGGCCCCGACGGCGTGGAGTACACGTCCCCCTGCTCTGCTGGCTGCAGCGGCCTGGCCCTGCGCCCCGACGGCTCCGTGCTGGTGAGTCACGGCTGGGCACAGCTGGCCCTGCCGGCCCCCCGGGCTGCCCTGGGTGTCTGCGGGACAGGGCAGTGCAGTGCGGGGTCACCGTGCAGGGCTTTGCTCTCTCCTGCCTTCCCCTGCTGGGGGTGGTTCTGCTGGCAGTGCAGCTCAGCAGACACACCGGGGAAACCTCTGCCGCTCAAAGCCCGACCTGCAGGTCGTTAGCAGCCCGTGTAGGATGAGTAGCGTTCCTGCACTCCTGGCACAGGCTGTGATGGCAGCAGGGAGCTGTCTGGGCGGTTTGCAGCAACGTTTTGTTAATTAGCGGCATTTCATTTTGATAACACTTGTGCTTTCTGCCAGACTCAGTCCCAAATGTGCTTTCCTGCACCCCCACGCCTGCCTTTTGTACAGCACATCATTTCCAACTGCTTTTCTCCTCCTCAACCATGCCTCTCTCTTCCAGCCCTTGCTTTCTTAGAAATTTTACACTTTTCTTACCATTTTCAGCAGTACAGGGACCTGTGGCACTCATTGCCTGCTGCCTTCCCTGTCCCAGGGTTTCCAGGAACCCTCCCAGCCTGCAGAAAACCCTGCAATTGTGTGCCCAGCTTTGCTGCAGCCCTCCCAGAGGGCACCATGTAAGCTTGGATGTAGGAATGAGGTTTTGGGAGACCCCAAGCTGCCCCTGCCTCTGGGATCACTCTTGTGCAAACTGCCACCCCCTCTGGTAACCAAAATATCATGCTCATTTTATTTAAAGGTCTCTTTAAAACAAAAAAAACAACCCAGAGGTTTCTCGTTTAAAACAGATAAAAAAGAGATAATTGTGACTAAAAAACAGAGAAATGGAGAAACTCCTCATCCATCACCACAAGGCATCTTTCCTTTGCTATAAGGCTGTGCTAGATATTTATGAGCCTCTCTCAAAGGCGAGGTTTTGCATGTTTGATTTAACACTGCCCTGGGCTGTGGCTGCAGCTCTGCCCGGGGTGAAGAGGGTCACAGCACAACAGGGCCTGGCACAGGTGGCACAGCCAGGAATTCCCTCCCAAAATCCCATCCATCCCTGCCCTCTGCAAAGCCATTCCCTGTGTCCTGTCCCTCATCCCCAGTCCCTCTCCAGCTCTGCTGGAGCCCTGGACTTGTCTGAGCTCTCCCCGAAGTAGTGAATTCTAATTGCTGCTAATTATTCCCAGACAAACCTTACCTGCTCTCCTTGGCTCTGTCAGCTGGCAGCGTTCCCTTCCACCTCAGGAAGCAGCCTGTGGATGTGGTGTGTCTCTCCTCTTTGCAGAACTACACGGGCTGCAGCTGCGTCGGGGCAGTGGGCGCTGCCAGGCCGGGCCCCTGTGGCACCGGCTGCTCCCACCTCTTCGTGCCCTTCGTGGTGCTCTCCTGCCTGGCTGGCATCCTGGCCAGCACCTCCCACACTCCCTCCTTCATGCTCATCCTCAGGTGGGTACGGCTTGGGCACCTCCTGGACAGACAGAGAGGGCATCCAGAGTGGGTCTGTGGGGCAGGGAGATGGATTTCGCCAGCTGCGGTACTGGGGACTAAACCAGCCCTGGATGAGGGATAAACCAGCCCTGGATGGGAGTTAAAGCAGCCCTAGATTGCAGATGGCAGCAGGATGGAGCCAGCCAAGATGGGAGCCCAGGCTGGTGGGGCTGGTGCTCAAAGCCATGGGGAAATCTCTGTCTTAGTCTGTGAATGGTACTTCCAAGCTCTTCTGGGCCAGGCAGGATTTTCAGGCCAAGAAAAGGCCATGGTGTTCAGCCCTGATGAATGAACCCTCTTCAGCTTTGGTGATGTGAATGGGAACTCCCTGGGATCCTTGGAGGCTGGGTTGAAGGACGAGTGTGTGGGCGAGGTGCTGTGCCAGGGAGGGAAGCATCCATCCTGGAGGGATTGCCAGAGGGCATTTTGTTCCATGTTGTTTTTCAGGAGCATCCAGCCTGAAGACAAATCATTTGCTGTCGGCATACAGTTCATGCTGCTGAGAGTTTTAGGTAAATTGAAATGTGTTAAAATACCCTCCTGGAAAATAATGGCAGCTCTTGGAGAGGGCTTTCCCAGGGCAGGAAAGGATGCTGCCCTGCAGGGTCTGGGGGCACATGGGAGGGGATGAGACAAGGCAGCTCCAAGGGCTCCATCCCCGGTCCCTGAGGCCTGTTTTTGAGATGGCTGTGGCCCCTGGAGCTGTGGTTTTCAGGCTATGAGCCCCAGGTCCTTGTTTTTTGGGTGGCTGTAGCCCCTGGGGCCATGGTTCAGGCTGTAGCCCCTGGGGCCGTATTTTTGGGGGCATTTGTGGCCTCTGGGACCTGTTTTTGGGGTGGCTGTGACCACCGTGGCTGTAGTTCAGCCTGTGGCCCCTGGAGCCTGTTTTCAGGGTGGCTGTGGCCCCTGAGGCCTGGTTGCGGGGTGGCTGTGGCCTCCGCAGCTGTGGTTCAGCCTGTGGCCCCTGGGGCCTATTTTCAGGGTGGTTTTAGCCCCTGGGGCTTGTTTTTGGGGTGGCAGTAGTCCCTGAGGCCTGATTTTGGGGTGGCTGTAGCCCCTGAAGCCTGTTTTTGGTGTGGCGGTAGTACCTGAGGCTGTGGCTCGGCCTGTGGCCCCTGAGGCCTCTTTTCGGGTACTGGTTTTAGCCCCTGGGGCTTATTTTCGGGGTGGTTGTAGCCCTGAGGCCTGGTTTTGGGGTGGCGGTAGCCCCTGGGGCTGTGGTTTGGCCTGTGCCTCCTGAGGGCTGTGTTTCCGGGGTGGCTGTGGGCCCCGGGTCCAGGGTTCGGGCTGTGGCCTGTTTTCAGGGTGGCTGTAGCCCCTGGTGCCTGTTTCCGGGGTGCCTGTGGGCCCTGAGGGCTGTTTCCGGGTGCCTGTGGCCCCTGAGGGCTGTTTCCGGGGTGGATGTGGGCCCTGAGGGCAGTTTCTGGGGTGNTCAGAGCACACCCAGCAGTGCCCCTTTGGCATTCTGTGCCCTGGTGTGGGCAGGGAGCGCAGCTGGACACCACAGGGATGGCCATGCTGGGCTGCTGTGTGTCAGGTGTGGGAGAGAAAGGCCAGGGCAGGGGAAGCTGTGGCATGGCGTGTGCAGTGACAGCCTCTGGTGTGTCCCCAGGTGGTGAGAGGGGAGGACAGAGGCAGCAAGAAGAAGGAGGACATGCTGAGCCAGCTCAGGCCGAGGTCCCAGCACACGGAGAGCCTCTCCCTGATGGAGTTCATCAGACGTAAGTGAGCCAGCACCCCTGCACAGACAGCAGCTCCCACTGGGCCGTGCCAGGGCTGCAGGGATGCTCCCCTGGGCTCAGCCCAGCCCCTGGATCAGCACCTTAGGCTCAGGGCTGGCTTTAAGCCCTCTGCTCCCTGCCCGCCCTGCCCTGCTGCACCTCCTGCCAGCCAAAGCACCCGGCCTTGGTCACTCTGAGTGTCACATTCCTTCCCTGGCAGTGCCCCAGGCCAGGCTGGACAGGGCTTGGAGCAACCTGGCACAGTGAAAGGTGTCCCTGCCATGGCAGGAGGTGGAAAGGGATGGGCTTTAAGGTCCCTTCCAACCCAAATCCCTCTGTGACTCTGTGATCTATGGCTCATGTGAGCAGTGGGAATCAGAGGCCAAAGTCTAACCAGAGCCCAAATGCAGGCAGGAAGGAGGGGTGCTGGCTGTGGGGCTGGAGCAGAGCTGTGGGAAGGGACAGAGCCCTTTGGTCAGAGGGGTCTGGGGACTGCTCAGCCCATGGAATCAGGAATCGGTCCCACAGCAGCACTGGCAACTTCTCCCCCAAAATCCTCATCAGACTCCCTCCTGCAAGGCTGGAGATGCTGTCCAAGGCAGGCTGACTCCTGTCCCACTGAGGGTGGCCAGCGCTGCCTGGAGCCAGGGTCTGGGCACTTAAAACCCATAAGGAGATCTGAACCCAGTGCAATTAAATTGTTTGGAAATGAGTGGGCTCTTTATGCTGAAGGGGATCAGCTGGGCTTCAGTCTGTGGAGGCATCTGCTAGTGCTTGGGATGTTTGGGTATTTTAAATACTCTGCACTTTGGCAGCCACTTAAGAGCAGTGACCCTCTGAAGACACTCCGTGTCAGCTTCCTCCATATTTCCCAACTATTATCCCATCAATTTATTGCAAATTCTCCGTGTTCTGAAGGTCAGTACAGGGCAGGCTCAGCCAGGCAGGCGTGGGCAGGCTTTCCTCCTGCTTGCTGTCAGCCTAATGCTCAATTAGAGCAGGCACTCGGGGGTTCTTTCCCTCCCTGACCCTGTGGCCCTGTCATTTAGAAACCTGTGTGCTGGGAGAGGCTGCGTGGGAGCAGATTGATGGTGCTCAGATGGGATTTTCACACCAACCCTCTGCTCTGTGGCTCCCAAACACGAATCAAAATGAGCTCCCTGCTCTGGCTGCAGCTTTGGTGCAGGGCTGGAATCAGCGTTGCTGTGTCAGGGCTGTGCTAATAAATCCATTATTTCTCTGGATTTATCCCCCAAAGCCCAGCTCTGAAATAAATGAAGTGTCTGGTTTATGTCAGGAGAGCAGCCTTGCTGAAATCACCGGGATCTCTCATACAAAACTCTTTTTAGAGCCAGGAAAGGCTGGCAGGTAGTGTGTGATGGGGCCCTGGGACAATCTGGGTGAAGCCCAACGACTTCAGGGCTGACTCATCTGCAAGTCACTGGAAAGACAATTTCCTTCCCATTTCACCACTCTCCTGCTGGTTTTGTTTCCTCTCTCCATTTCTCTTTTTGCTATTATTTTCTGCATTATAATATATTAAAGCAGCCTTTGGAGATGAGATTCTCCAGCCTGAATCTCCTTGGAAGTGCCCCAGGCCAGGCTGGACGGGGCTGGGAGCACCCTGTGGCAGTGGAAGGTGTCCCTGCCATGGCAGGGGTGGCACTGGGTGGGCTTTAAGGTCCCTCCCAACCCAAACCATTCCATGACTGTGGAGAAGGAAATGCTTTTGCCATGTCATCTGTTGCTTTGGGGATACTCAGAGAGCAAAATCACTCTTGTGGCAACTTCTGCCGTGTCCTGCAAGCAGAGCAAGGGTGGACTGGAACCCATCCACCCCACAAGGACCTCCTGGGAGCCCCTGAGCGCCCTGGGCAGGCTGGGAGGGGCAGGTGCAGAGCCCTGGAGGCTCTGTCGGGGCAGGGAGGGCTTTGCCAGCCCAGCAGCAGCACCAGGACGGGGCTGTGTGCAGGGTGAGGGTCAGGCCAGGCTCTGGGGACACTCAGCCCAGCGTGGAGCTCTGCCTGGACTCAGAGCTGGGCACTGCTGTTGGCTCCGGCACAGACACTCTGCGTGGCACCAGCTTGCACCCTGCTCCTCACACTCACAAACTCCTCCCAAATTGCTCCTGCTGCAGCATCAGGTCTTCCTGCAGTAATGGAAAATGTAGGATTTCGCTTGCCTGAAGTTATTTCCATTGCTAATTTCCAGGCTTCTGTTGGAAACACCTGGGAGGATGTGCAGAGTCTGCTGCACATACTGGGAATTAGCCCATTGAAGGTGATCTTCAAAGCAATTGGAGCGCTGCACTCGTGACTCGTTTGTTTCCCTTATGGTCCCCAAAGGCAGTTTCAAGGATGTTTTTTGTTTATTATTTTAAAGTTTCCACTTGCTTTCCCTGTCTGCCCAGCTGCTTCTCTCGAGCTGTGAGGAGGATCCAATTAGGGATTGCAGAGGATGGAAATCTTGCTGCTCCCACCATGAAGCGTGGACCTGCTCAGCTTTTCACCTCTGATTTGGGGTGACAGAAGGGGTGTGGCTTAATTACAAAGACCAGAGACCTCCAGGGAAAAGAACTTTTTGGTGGAAGATCCCCACAAAAGGCTGGATTGGCTCTCAGGAGATTTTTCAGCCAGCAAGCGGAGGTTTCCCATCTGCAGCACGGCTAAGGAATTCAGGGAATACTCTTCAAAAATCAGGACCTTTAGTGGTAGTTGAGAGCAAAACCATCTCCTCCCTTGGGTTCACAGTGGTGTAATGCAGCTCCTTCCCTCCCTGCTGCCTGCCAGCCTGCAGAGGGTCAGCATTCCAGGGTCCTTGTCCATTCTCTGTATGCCTGGGCCCCTCCAAGGCCTTGCTTCTGTAGCTCCCTATGATTTTTGGTTGCTTGCCTGACCTGAGGGCAGAGTGCTGAGCTGGAAGGGGAGCTGGGGACATGGGGGACCCCACTGCACCCTCAGAGAGTCCTTTTGCTCTTCACAGAAGATTTAGGACAGCCAAAACCCGTCCCCATCTGGGGCCAGCTCCCAGACAAGCCCCAGGGAGATGTCCCCAGCACCACTTTGCTGGAGCAGATAGAAAGATTGTCCCTCTTGTTTGTCAGTGCTGAGAATTAGCCCCATTAATTGATGGCAGTCCTCTGCATTAATCCTCGCTGCTAATTCCTTATCTCTGCTCCAGCATATTGGCTGCCCTGGCCCTCATCTGGGACACTCATCAGCAGTTTGTTTGGAAGTTGCCCTTTGCTGCCAGCCCGAGCAGGGGGAGGCACNGTGCCTGTGGCCCCTGAGGGCAGTTTCCGGGGTGGCTGTGGCCCTTGAGGGCTGTTTCTGGGGTGGCTGTGGCCCCTGAGGGCAGTTTCTGGGGTGGCTGTGGCCCCTGAGGGCAGTTTCTGGGGTGCCTGTGGCCCCTGAGGGCAGTTTCTGGGGTGGATGTGGCCCCTGAGGGCTGTTTCCGGGGTGGATGTGGGCCCTGAGGGCTGTTTCTGGGGTGGCTGTGGGCCCCAGGTCCAGGGTTTGGGCTGTGGCCTCTGGGGCCATGGTTGGGGCTGTTGCCCCCAGTGCCATGGTTTTGAGGCGTCCGTGGCCCCAGTACCTGTTTTGGGGTGTGTGAGGGCAGGGCAGGCCGATCTGACGCTGTGCTGTTGCAGCGTGGATGCCGGGCCCGGTGCTGTACGGCAGCGCCATCGACACCACCTGCGTGCTGTGGGAGAGGCGCTGCGAGCGCAGGGCAGCCTGCAGATACTACGACAATACCCTCTTCAGGCACAGGTAGGGACATAGGGACAGCAGGATAAACCCTGTGCCAAGCGCTGGGAACACCCTGGGACGCTCCCCTGCCCCTGACCATGGAGGGTGACTCCAGGACAGCTCCCTGCTCTGGGGCAGAGGCTGTGCCTGGAACAGCCTCCCTAGAGTGCCAGGGTGCTGCTTGGAGCTCTCAGGAGCATCCTCACTGCCCTGACCCGCTGTGTCTGCACCCACAGGTATCTGGGACTGCAGTTCTTCTTCGAGGTGGGCGCCTTCCTGTGCTTCGTGGCTGTGTACGTGATCCTCAGGAAGCAGGAGAGGGAAGCCAGCCAGGCAGAGGAGGCGAAGGCAGAGCCAGAAAAGGAGAAACTGGCGGGAAAGTCCACAAAGAGCCCGGAATCCAAAGTGTGACAGTGAAATGTGGATTGTGGTCCGTGCTGGGGAGGTGAATCAGCCCACGGCCGAGCTGTGTGGGGTGGATGCTTGGAGTGATGGACCCAGGGCTGCTTCCTGCTGTCCTGGATGGGATGGACTCTGCCTGCACTGCATGGATCCATCCACACATTGTTCTCCTCCTAAGGAGTGCAGCTTGCTCCTTCACATGGATTAGTCCTCACTCTTTAACCCATGGACTCTGCAGCCTCCTGGGTTTGTGTCCTACAAAGCAGCTTTTCCTGCTGACCCTCTCAGTGGTGCCAACACTGAGCAGAAACCATAAACACAAAGGGTTTAGTAGAGTGGGTTTTTTTAAAATAAATCATTTTTAATAAATGGTTTTGTACTGAACCTGCAGATCTCTGTGACTGATGTTTGTAATTCTTTTTTTCTGTGTTATCAGCACTCATTTCTGATGGTCGGTGCTTGAAGCATGTGGGAGTTCAGGTGCATTCCTGGTTTTGCAGCTTGAGAAGGGTTTTTCCCAGGGTTGCAGGATCAGAGGATGAGGTTGGAGCCCTCTCCAGACTGGGTAGAGCTTGTAGCTAAGCCATCTGAGCCCAGCAGTAGCCAGCCCTGGGCTCGCTGAAGGGGGCTCTGTCTGTAATTACAGGGTGGAAGTCCAGCCTGGCCCTATTTCGGTTCAGCTGCCTCTGTTTCCTGCATTCTTCCCATCCTGGGGTTCCTTCCCACCCAGGAGTGAATTATGTTACCCAGCCACAGCCACTGGGGAGCTTTGTCATCTTTGGCTCCAGGATGGAATTTAGTAGAGAAAACAAAACTTGTAAGTTCAACCCAAACATGCAGAAAAGAAACACACAGAGGGGAACATTGACTCCCTGCTGCCACCCTGGCAGATATCCCCTGGGAAGGGCTGGGTGTGCACAGAAGGGAAGGGAGCAGGCCTGTGGTGAAGTGACTGAATTTAGTTGTTTCCCCAAACTGTTTGCCCAGCCCTTCTGAGGGACCCAGTTACCTCAGAGCAGACTGGGAGGGTGACTGGAATTTTTTAGGGGTTTGGGTTGGGGTTTTTTTCCTATTTTTGTGAAGTGCCTCGTGTTCACCGAGCTGAGAGTTTACAGCCCTGTTCAAGAAGCGATGTCTGGCTTCAGAGAAGGTTCTGGAAGTCAGAGAAGTGCATGGACGTTGCAGGGGTGTAGATGCAGCCACCCAGGGAAGAACGAGTAGCATTTGCTGACCTTTAGAAAGCCAAAACCAGGAGAGTTTTGCTCTATCCTCTTTCCCAAAGCCCTGCCAGGCAGCGCCTGTTGCTGAAGCAGCAGGATGAGGTTCTTAGGGCAGGAGCAGGGAGGAGATGGGCTGTTCCAGCCCCTTGCAGCCCAGGAGAAGAAGGAGAAGAATCCCTGGTGTCCCTGGAGAAGAAGGTTCTTTCCTGGCTGAGCACAAGCCTTGGCTCCCAGGCGCTGTCCTGCCGTGCTCAGCTGATCCCAAGTACTCCAAGGTACTTTCCACACCACAACAAACAAACAGCAGCACAATCTGCTCAGTTTGCTCCCATGGCGTGGGAAGTGGGGAGCTGCAGCCTGCTTTGCCAGGAATCTGCCACGGATTCCATTCTTTGCTGTGGAAGTGTGCAAGCCCAGGCTGGATGAGGCTTGGGGCAGCCTGGGGTGGTGGGAGGTGTCCTTGCCCATGGCAGGGATGAGCTTTAAGGCCTTTCCAACCCGAACCACTCCATGGTTCTCTTCCCCATCCCACTGGAGCCCCTCAGGGCTGTGCAGCCTTTCTGAGAGCCCCTGAAGCCACTAAAGCAGTGGTTCCATTTACAGAAAGGAGGGGAAAAGGAGACAACTGAACCCTTTCCCCAAATAAACAGGGAGCACAATTGCCTGTGGTGCTGCTGCAGGTGGCAGGCAGGCTGCACATCCCTGTGTGCCTGGCTGAGATCCTGATGGATGCACAGGGGCCTGCAGGATGGCCTGGCCAGCTCACTGCCAGCCCCCTTCTCACTGCTGGGCTCAGGGCTGCACACTCATTTTCCACCTGGAAAACTCCCATCACACCACAGAAGGGTCTGGCACAGCCTGAATTCCTCCTTCCTTCCAGGGTTACCCCACCTGCAGAGGAGAGATCCCTGGGGATAACCATCCAAGGCACCTGCAAGCTGTGCCTTAGCTCTGGGCTTGTTACTCTGGTAATTTCCATCCATTTGGGCTGGAGTTTCTAAAAAGAGAATTAAAGCCCCATTTCCCCATCCCCTCCCCTGTGCTCTTCAAGAACACGGTTGAAAGGGACTGGCTTGCCAGGAAGGATGAAAGAGAGGCAGTTTGGAAAGGCTGCTCCCACAAAAAGCCCAGGGAATATGAAAGGGCTGGCAGCAGCGAGGGAGCAGCAGGAGCAGCGTTTGATGCTGAGCAAGGGGCAGGCAGGTAGGGGGGCTGCAGAGAAAGGAAGGGGCAGAGGCAGCAAAATCCACCCTGAGCCGTGTGCCAGGCTCTCCCCAGAGGAGGTGTCCCCTGCAGACAGCCTGAGGCAGAATTTACAGAGCTCTGAAGGGTACAGCTTGGGCACCAGCCAGGAGTTGCACTGGGGGGGTTAACAGGAGCTAATCCAGCTGGGCCAGGACTCATGGACTTCCTGGAACTGGAGCGCTGGATGTTTTCATGCAGCACTTTGTGGTACCAGGGTCACAGACCTGGAGGCAGAACGGTGCCTTTAGGGCTGCCGAGAATTGCGCAGGGTCAAGAGGAGGAATTAGAGCTGGAGGGAAGGACCCAAAACACTTACAGAGCCAAGAGCTGCTTCAGAGCCAGGCACAACTCCTGTTCCTCTGGAAAAAGAGCAGAGCTGAAGCTTTTAAATCACCCTTGGTGTGTTCAGCTCAGCCAGATCTCCCCCTGGAGCGCTCCTGGCCACTGCTGCAGCCAGACCCAGAGGTTTCTCCTGCTTTGCTGCTGGTTTTCCAGGGGTAGGGACGGTCCCAGGTGGATTCTGTGGCTGTCTGCAGGGGGCCAGCAAAACATGAATCCAAACCCACTGGATGTTTCTCCTAAAACTCACTGGAGCTGCCTCTGGCATCCTGAGATCTGCCCCTGAGTTTGCAGCCACAAGACAGAGAATTGCTGTGGCTGGGACTGAGGCAGAGCTGGGGGTGCAATCCAGCCCCCAGACTGGGGGAGAGGAAGGAAAACAATCCAAACTGAATTCAGGAAAACCTGGCAAGTTCCCAGAGGAGCACTGGAAAGACGAGCCAAGGAATCACTGAAACGCCACCAATTAAAACCACAATTCCCAGAAACTGGAGGTTTCCAGGCATTTCAGAAGGGGAAAACAGAGCAATCAGGCAGATCCAGACCCAGCCCAGCACTGGTCCCTGGGAAGATGCTGAAGAGGAGACTCATCCATGTGCAGCCACTGGGATGGAGGTGTCATGGGCTGTCTCACACAGATCTCACAGCAAACATCTCATTTCTCCCTCAGGCAGGCACCTGTCCCACCTGGGGAGGCTTCCTTCCTGACTGAAGGAGGGGTTTTGACCCTGTCCCACCTTGTTCCCATAAACCAATTACCAGCCAGATGGAATTATGCAGAGGGGAGGAAAAGAGGAGAAAAACCAGGCTTAATTGGAAAGCTTCAGCCCCAGGAGCTGCAGGTAGTTTGCTGCCTGCCCAAAAGGATTTATCTACAAGAATCTCACCAGGGTCTGTCCTGTCTCTGGGACTAATCAATATTTTAATTAATTACTTGGACGATGAGAGAAGCAGGAGCTAATAAAATTTCTGCTTACGGATGCGAGTGCTTTGGACTGGAATCCAAATCCTTCAGAGCAGATTGAAGAAATGGTGTGAAATAGATAATACTGGGATTTACAGGAGCAAAACAGTGGGGCAGGGGAAGGGGGGCTGGGGTGCAAAGTCTGCCCTGGGAGAAAAGGGATGTTGCAGCAGCTCCTAAGGGAGCAGAAGAGTTTTGGGTTCATATTGTCCCTTTAAATTAAATTGGCTTTCACCACAGCTCTCTGCCTGTCCTGTGAGGGGAAGATACGACCCCTTGCACTTGGAGGCATAAAATCATCTCCCCATGTTGCTGAATTGAGTAAGTTTCCTGCTTATTGCCAAGTGCATCTCCTCCAGCTGTGCCCTCTCGAAGGTCCAAGCAAACAGAGCAAATCAGGAATTATCTCCTGTGCTTAGAGACAGCTTGAGTAATGATTGCTCCTGAAATATGGAATTCATCTCTGGGGCTTAATGGGCTTGCAGTGGAGCTGCAGGAGCTGGCTCTGAGGGTTCTGAAGGGTTTGTGGCCAGGGAAGAGCATCCTTCATCCTGCAGAGGTGATGAGGGCTGGAGCTGCTCCCCAGCCTCATCTGCTGCTTCCAGGGGGCTGAAGGACAGAAGTGCTTCCACACCACACTGATAAAGGATTCTAATCCCTCTCCCCTCATTTTTCAAGTGAGAATGGCATTTGCTGAAGAGAGCAGAACCTGAGGTGGTTCCAAGCTCTGCACACATTCTGAGCAAACTCAGGAAAAAGTAACTTCCCCTGGATAAACTTGCTGTTGGATTATTCTTGCTCTCACACCTGCTGTGAAAAAAGGCTTCCCTTTCCACCCTCCCCATGTCCTGTTTGTCCCAGTGCCATGACCTAATCACACACTGGGCACTGACAGTGTCCCAGCTGCACTGAATGTGTCCATTCCAAATGAAGTTTGGCTCTCTGTGCTCATCTTTCTTTTCCCCCCGCAGTTTCTGATTTCCTGGGACTGCAGGAGTGCTCAATAATGAGATATCCCCAAAGCTGTGGTCTGGGAGATGGGAATTGCCTGTGTGTGACAGCAGTGCAGGAAGAGCAGATCCAGGAGGATGGGGATGGCATGCTGAGAAATGGAGACACTGGTGGTGGAGATCAAACTGGGAACACTGGAATTCAGCTGGACTAAAGGGGATCCCTTTCCTATCCCACGGGTCTCACACTGGCTCTTGCTGCATTGCTGTCCTACACCTGGAGCAGCAGGGCCACAGCCCACTGTCCCCTCCTGCTGTCCCAGGGCTGGCCTCGCCTGGCCTGAGGCTGTTCAGGCGCACAAGGCTTTCTCTGGGCCCTGCTGGCGTGACAGCAAGGCCAAAGGAAGTGACAGCTTTGCAGTTTCCAGGAAACTGGGGCTTTAAAAGAAAAGGGCTGTGGTTAACAGCTGGAATGTCCATCCCTGAAGTCCCAGCTGTGAAGTTTCCTGCATTCCTCATTCCTCGGGGGAGCCGCTGCAGAAGATGCTGTGGGAACAGAGGATGCAGGAGGCAGCAGTGCCTAAAACCCAGCTGGGAGTGTGTGGCAGCTCAGGCCGGGTGTCTGTGCAGGGAACAGCATCCCCAAGGGGTGACCCTGATCCCCTG